TCCCAGCGGCTCAAGTTTCCACACATCGCTCCTGAGCTACTTGACATTGCTGGATCACAAGTTTCAGCCAGCACGGACATCTTCGCTGTTGGGGTACAGCTTAACATGATCGGTCAGTTTATTGACGATGATGAGCTCGTCATGGTGGGAGAGCACTGCTGCGAAAATGAGCCTCATCTCAGACCAAAGGCTCTTGATGACATTGTGCCCAAGCTGGTCGAGATCAAGACAAGGCTGAAGAACGAGCGACGGCTTCATCGGTCAGGTACGTTCGTCATCGATTCAGATCAGGATGGAAGTAGCCAAGGTGGCAACGGTTGAAGGAAAGGGTTGGAGGAGAGGGCCCGGGAAGCAGGCGGAGATGCCGAAGAAGAAGGAAATGCAGGAGTCTTGATAGGAGTGTCCCTATGAAAAGAGCGGACACGTAGGCCTTGCGAGAGCCAGTGACCAACAGGAAGACGGAAAAATACGGAGAAGGAGAAGTAGAGATCAAGAAGGGGCAGCAGGAAATGGCAGGATAATCAGGAGGTGATATAGCATTTGAAGTCACTTTCTCTTTCTTAATGCACTAAAGATGACGAGTAACAATACTGAATGAGTCTTAAGGGACATATTAGGACACGGGTGTGGGGACACACCATGTACACAAGAAGGGGCTACTGAAACCTATTCAATAGATAAAATGGAATGCCAGAAACAATTGATTGCCAATAGAAATGCATCAATATACACATGTGCAGTCACGGGGAAACTAATGGGTAGAATTAGATTGAATGTCACTAATGAAGATTCGAACCGTCAAGCTCGTCTCGAAGATCCACACCAAGACCGCTGAACTTTGTCGAGAGATCGAATATCTAAGAGAGGAGAGAGCTCTGTTCAGAGAAGATTCCAGCAAAATTCGGGTAAATACCGGTAGTATTATAATTATTAGGCATTTAGCTACGCTATATCACTGCGCTTAAAATAATAAGCAATATAACAATATAACAAAAAATCACAACATAACATTGAACAAACAAAATAATAGCGAATCAAGTAGGAAATAGGTACTTTTTAAGGAGTTTTTTTTTAATGTGTTAAAACGCAATTACAATGGAATTGAAAACTTTCGGGTCAGGTCAGTATTAAGGAGAACTATACTTCAAAAATGTTTTTAGATGTTATGAAGTTCTTCATCAAAAACTACTTTTACTGACCATATGTAGTTTGGGTAAACTTTCATTTGTGATCGAAGTCATTTTTAAGAATGTTATCATTATTCAAGAGAGCACTTGAGAAGGATATCTGAATATATAATTTGCTTGATCAAGATTCTTGATTTCATTTTCTAATTGAGTAAATAGAGCTTTTGAATCTTGGTTACATCCCAAGGCGGAATGGGTGGAGAAAGGGAACGGGTAGATTGTTGCTTTTTGGGAATATTCTGCGGAATTAAAGTCTTAAGTAGAATATAATCATTATACATTACTGCCTTTCGTAGGCACTGGCCGAGGAGTTAGCAGCCCTGAGGAGATCTCAAGAAGTCCCCACCCCTAAGAAGCGATCGAAGAAATGGCGCTTCTTCAGGAAGAAGAACAAAGTTGGCATCGAACATCAAGAGGTATGGGTTATAGATTTGAATTGCGTCAAGCTTATTTCGCAATATTTATAGCATGATACATGTAAAGTTTTAAAGGAAGATGCCATACTCTTATAGTAAAAACTCATAGCAGTCATTTTCAAACTAAACTCAATAAAACGGACACCCTTTTTGGAATAATCGCACAACTTTTAATATTCACATTTTTTTCTGTTCCTACTCACCTTTTAACTTAGTTTTTTAAACATAATAAAATCAAATATTCTTTCGTCAAATTATGACGCAAGGCAGATATATAAATGTATTAGAACTTTGAAAAGCACTGAATATATTAAAACTTTAAAAATAATTGAATTGTAATATGACAAAATGCGAAGGATTTTGTTAACATGATCCATTCTCGTTCGTTATCAATCTGTATAAACTTTGTCTTGCCTATATGAGTTTATTATTTCGATGTATTTCTTTCATTTATCTAATCGTTGAATACATCGCTCAAAACACGCATTATCCCATTAAAAATATTCTTCTGTTCGCCTCCCCACTCTCTCACTGTCAAAAAATCAAGAGAAGGGGAAATTGACTAAGATCAAGGTTTTAAAATCGTTCTTCTTTTTTTCAAAATCTGTATCTTTTTCTTAGGCTCAGACAAATCTCATCGTCGAGAAAGAATCTCAGCTCAGGAGGCATATTGAAAGGATGAACTCGCGCATCAAGTGAGTTAATACAGCCTACAATCCATATTATGAGATGAAAACTTAAAATTTGATATTGATGCTATCGAATTTCATACTCCAATTTGTGTTGATTTGATGAAGCTACCAAGATTACTAATCTGCAGAGAGTTAGATGTAAATGCATATGAAATCAAAACGTTCAAGAAGAACAGTTTTGACAAACGGGAAGGGAGATAGATGGAAAGAGATATATCGAGATAGAGAGAAAAGAGAGAGAGAGAGAGAGAGAGAGAGAGAAAGAGAAGAGAGGTAGAAATTGGGGAAAGTTGTGCATCACTAAGATATTTTTTCTGTTCCAAATTTCCAAATGCACTAGTTCTTCTATACATTCTGAAATTGTCGAATCTGATTAGATAAGTGCATTAGTCTGGGGATGATTTTCAATCGTTTATGAACAAAAGAATAGGACGAGCCTCCAAGATTGAAGATCAATAGATGAAAAGGCAATATCTCCTAATTTTTTACAAATACAGTGCGTCCCAGAAAAAACGAAACCGAGAAGTATCGATGTTCTATCATAACTTAATCACAACTATAATTAATGAATGATACATATTTGGAAAGCTTAGAGTCTCTTCTTTCATGTGATGCTACTCAGATGATGCATATTTCACGCATGAGTGATTAAAAGCAATTTGAAGGAAGGAAACCAAAAAGACATTTGACGGGCGGTATCTGAATTTCGAAGAAAAATTCACATTTCCAGAAAGTTGAGTTTCTGCCCTTTTATATGACACCTCAATCAGGAAAAATGAGCGAGGAATGACAAAGTTCTGTTTGTTTAAAGTAGTGCTTGCATTTCCATAATTTTATTAAACGAATTCGTTTTCACTGGCTGCCTGCCGTATCAATAAACAAAATTAACAAAAGACTTAACTCCGTTTCGTTGACAATCAGCCGTAGACGAGAGTCTTCATGCATGGCTGATTGTCAACGAAACGGAGTTAAGCCTTTTGTCAAATCTGCTTTTTGCTACGGCAGGCACCCAGTGAAAACGAATTCGTTTGTTAAAATTATGAAAATGGAAATGTAATATGCATCATCTGAGTAGCATCAACTGAAAGAGTAGACTCTAAGCTTTCCAAATATGTATCATTCATTAATTATGGTTGTGATTAAGTTATGATAAAACATCGATACTTCTCGGTTTCGTTTTTTCTGGGACGCACTGTATAATGCTAAGAAACCATTGCAAAAAAACCCCTCTCCTTTAATGTTTATTCTAATAATTTTAAATGGTTAACTATCACTTTTTTTAAAGACATTTAAGGGATAATGTTGCCGAATTTCAATCTTCTTGTGTTTCTAGTTCCCTAGAGAAAGACAAGGCCATTCTGGAGTCTCAAACCGGGAAACTAATGGAGTGCGACGAAGCAGCCAAGAGACTCACACAGAAACTGGTGGAGCAGAATAGGACACTTGAAGAAGATAACCAGAGCTTGGACGAGAAAATCGGACTCTTGGAATATGAGACAGACGGACAGACTGATAAGATCAAACGCCTCTACGACCACATGGAAAGGTTAGAGAAATGTTTAATCTGAAAATAATATTTCTACTAATCATCACAAAAAGAGAAAAAATTGAAAAAATGCATAGTGCATGAGAATAATCTAGGGCTGCGTAAAGAAATGATGTTTGGATGAAATATCTTTTCCACCAATTTGTTTACTCACATAGTATCATTATTACGTTGAATTGATCGATCAGAGACAGAAGTCAACTGTTATAAGATAATTGGTTCCTCCAGGCTAGTTGATATCAATATCTATTCTCTCTTTTGAAATTGCAAATCATAGTGTATTATCCATAATCTACTATAATTCATGTTGTGGCTCATTTCTGAACTTTATTTAATTGTTTTATTATCTGCAGGATGAGATACAATGAAATGTATCCCAACAGCGCCATCAACGATGTCCATAGCCAATCCGACCATGCAGTTATTGCCTCATTGACCACTCTCCGCTGCAAGAAGCTCGACCATTCAACCCTGAGAGAATCAAAGTCCGACGACTCATCCAAGCTGGAGCTGGATATGATTGGCAATGGATCCTTTGGAATTGTCTTGCTTGGTCATCTAGATGGACTCTCCAAGCCAGTGGCCATTAAGAGACCCTACGTTCCAGCTCATCTGAAGGGAGAGGCAGCCGAAAACGAGTGGAAGGCTAATCAAGGGCGCACCAGAAAAGAGTCTCTGGTCTTAGAACTGCTCAAGGGCTGTCCTTACTTCGCCCAGATGGTTGGTACGATCACCATGGGCAGAGAGCTTTGTGTTGTAACAGAGTTCATTGGAAGCGGTCAGACGAGAAGGCCATACCGGCTTCATGATGCATTGCAGGTGATAGATCCCATATTATATCCTTCAATATGGAACATGGTTGCTATTGCCGAGGACCTGGTTCGGGGTGTGAGCATCATCCACGACTTTGGTCTCCTCCACAATGACATCAAGGGAGATAACATTCTCCTGGAACATCGGAGGAGAGCGTTGGCATGGGGTGATCATCGACATGGGGCTGGTGACGACCATGGCCTACACTGAGCAAAGATCATTCTCAGATTTAATCCCAGAATCCCAGCGGCTCAAGTTTCCACACATCGCTCCTGAGCTACTTGACATTGCTGGATCACAAGTTTCAGCCAGCACGGACATTTTCGCTGTCGGGGTACAGCTTAACATGATCGATCAGTTTATTGACGATGATGAGCTCGTGACGGTGGGAGAGCACTGCTGCGAAAATGAACCTCATCTCAGACCAAAGGCTCTGGATGACATCGTGTCCAAGCTAGTCGAGATCAAGACAAGGCTGAAGAACAAGCGACTGCTTCATCGTTCAGGTACGTCCGTCATCGAGTCGGATGAGAATGGAAGTAGCCAAGGTGGCAACGGTTGAAGGAAAGGGCTTGAGGAGAGGGCTCGGGAAGCAGGCGGAGATGCCGAAGAAGAAGGAAATGCAGGAGTCTTGATAGGAGAGTCTCAATGAAAACAGCGGACACGTAGACCTTGCGAGAGCCAGTGACCATCAGGAAGACGGAAAAATACGGGGAAGGATAAGTAGAGATCAAGATGGGGGCAGCAGAAAATGGCAGGATAATCAGGAGATGATATAGCATTTGAAGTCACCATCTCTTGTTAATGCACTAAAGATGACTACTAACAGTACTGAATGAGTCTTACGGGACAAGTTAAGACAGGGGTGTAGGGGCACACTATACACTCAAACAGGTGCTACTCAAACCTATTCGAGAGAGGAAAAGGAATGCTAGAAACAGTTGATTGCCAGTAGAAATTTTTCGAACTGCACGTGTGAAGTCACAGGGAAACTTATTAAATGTCACTACTGAAGAAGCAGAAAACAGATAAGAACACAGTTCTACCATTCTGCTCAAGAAGTCAAAGGAGGATAAGAGAAGTAATACAGAAATAGAGAGAGAGAGACGATCGAAAGAGGAGGGCAAAGGCATCTGGGCCCTGTTTCATAAAACTTGATATCAATAACAAGTTACAAGCTACTGTTATAAGCTACTGAAATCATGGCATCTGATTGGCTGAGAGCAAATTTGTCATAGACATTTAGCAGTTGTTATAGATAACAAGTTTTATGAAACGGGCCCCTGGTTCTCCAGTTCCTGTATTTAATAAAAGGAGGGACTGGAGCTAGGTGAGGAGTTCAATCTGAACATTGGGCAAATCAAATTGCAGCTGAGCATTATTATCAGAAGCAGCTCCAACTTGTTCACAGAGCTATGCCAAGCCGTCTACTAAACTGCTGAAGAATCATTGAACAGTATTTGAAGGTCAAATGCAGATAAAGACAGAAATAGAACTTTGGTGGTTGCAAAAGAGAATGCAAATGCCTCTTTATACAGCGCATACATAGATGCAACTCCTTTAAAATTTGGAAGAAATATGAATAAAGAGAAAGCAGTAAAGAAACAAAGAAGCCACTCTATGAACAAAATGAAATATATTTACCTAGTTCCGATTTGTCGTCATTCGAATCTTTCGCCATTTTGTTCTTCCTAAACAATTTCCAGTGATGCCGCTTTGAAGATTTGACGTCCGAGTTATCCAAAATGCAATTGTGAGATTTCAAGTTAATATGCTCTTTCACCATAGCTAATTTGCATACAAAGTGCCAGAAATATCACTTCTTGTATACAGGACTGCTCTACACCATCCCCGTATTAGCTACAGTGAAAGAGCATATTAATTTGAGATCTCACACTATTATTGTATTCTGGATGTAGATGTACATGTTGTAGAAAATGAGGGATACTGAAAGAACCAGAAGAGGGGGAGGGGCATAAAGATGAAAGGTAGAATGATGAAAGTTCGAATTTGAGCGATAGAAAGAGGAGTAGAGAAAATGATGAATATTCATATCGGGTACAAAACAGATAAAGGGAGAAAGAGAGAGAGAGAGAAAGAAAGGGTGGCGTCGTCGTTACATAATATGAAAGGTCTCGAATGGTTTCAAAATTCTGCAGCCTCTAACTTACTTCGACATGTCTGGCAGGACATTTATTTACGTTTGCCATACTCAACCCAGGTGATTCAATGGGTCCCTTGCATACTTTTACACCGCCCCTTATCAGAGCTGCGAGATTATCAAGGTAAGGTTACAATATGATTAATACACCTATGAACAGACATCTGGTTGGCGGAATATTGGTACTATCGAAACCAGGCGTATATGGACGACGGTTCGTGTTATCACGACCTATAGATTATTTTTGATATGACTATACAGTGCGTCCCAGAAAAAAACGAAACCGAGAATTATCAAAGAAGACTTCATGCATGGCTGATCGTCAACGAAACGGAGTTAAGTCTTTTGTCAAATCTGTTTGTTGCTACGACAAGCAGCCAGTGAAAACGAATTCGTTTAATCAAATTATGGAAATATATGAATTAGAGGCCTATACTTTAAACATACAGAACTTTGATATTCCTCGCTCATTTTTCCTGATTGGGGTTTCATAGCAAAGGGCAGAAAATGAACTTTCTAGCAATGTGATTTTATCTTTGAAATTCAGATACCGTTCGCCGAATGACTTTTTGGTACTCTCTCTTCAAAATATTTTTTATCACTAATGCGTGAAATATGTATCATATGAGTTGCATAAAATGAAATAGGAGGATCTAAGCTGTGCAAATATGTGTCATTTATTAATTATAATTTCGATTATTGAAACACATCGATAATCCTCGGTTTCTTTTTTTCTGGGACGCACTGTACATGTTCAATACTTCTATCAAAATAACCGCTATGTATTACATCTATCTACAAGTATATATTAACTTCACTATTCCTTTAGAGTCTTGCTAACAAAAAGCGCTATCCGCTTTGTTGAGACCAACGCTCCATCACGACTTAAAGACTGCAAATTTACCACAGTCGACCCAGATGATTTTCATGCATACCAAGTCTTTTACCCCGAATCTAATCAGAGCTGCGATTTTTATCCAGATAGGGTCATGATTTGAACAATGCACCTATGATGAATAGACATCCAAATGGCGGAATATTGACACTTTAATTTCCTCTAGATAACTCGCTTGCTGAGAAAGAGCACCTTCCGCTTTGTATCGACCCACGCTTTATCGCGACTTATATAATGTATATGAATTCGACTATCAATCAAAAATGGTCGCGGTACATCGTGTTGCGTTAGTCTATAAAAAGATCTTCGCTTCGTCATTTCTGACTAGATACTTCTAAATCCATCATTACGAAAGGAACATTACTTTGCCGGATCGAGGTGATAATCTTTCTTGTCATTTTGTAATTTAGATTTTAGTCACATCAAGTTTTGTTGATGTTTACCGCAGTTGCTGATGTTGTGTTGCTGTAAAAAATTGTTTAACTATTTATTTGTTGAAATATCAAAGTACCAGCTTTGTCAAGGTTTGCATCAATTATCATTAATTTTCTTCCTTTCTACTCCTAACCAGTAACCTGTGCAGGACTAGACGTCATGGAAAACTCGACGCTTGATTTCAGCTCAGAGCCAGGCAATCTGACATTGAACTCTACTGATGGCTCAGTTGTTGTTTTTAGCCTACTCTTTTCACTATCAGCTTTGACAGTGGCAATGAACGCCTTGATTCTGAGGGCATTCCATATCGAAGGAAAATTGCGCACCTATTCCAACCAGTACATCCTCAACATCACCATCGCTGATCTTCTAGTAGGGTATATGATGGCGATCCGTAGCACCGTCAATTTATTCGGAAAGTGGATTTTTGGAGACATCCTCGGGCATTTCTTTCTTGGTATTCAGAACTCAATTCTTGGTGTGTCCGTACTTGGTATCATCGCGATCGCTTCGGACCGTTACGTGGCAACCTCCTTCCCAATCCTGCATTTTCGACGTAAGAAGAAAAGAATTGCGCACCTTGTCAATGGCCTCAGCTGGGTGGTTGCTTTGTTCTTCTGGGTTCCTATCACCACGATCTGGAACATGGTGGAACCATTTCATACAGCATCTAAGAAAGGCTTCCTTTGGGTAAATTATGGCCGAAATTTCTATTCCAGTATTGCGGTTACAATTGCCAGATTTGCCATTCCCATTGTCATTATTACAGTTATTTATATCAAGATAAACTTTACAGTGAAAGCCTCTGGTAGCCGAAGTTTGTGGAAGAGATTCAACCTCAAACCAATGAACGAAGCCGAAGGTGACACAAACACTCAGTTTCAGAGTGAAACAACGAATGACATTTCCTTGACAGACCCTCACGATCAAAGTCTTGACAATGATGATGGTACCCGAATCGATATCAATGCCAGTGGTGTTCAAAACGATGATACTGTGGTCAACGTTCATAATCAGCAAGGAATCGTCGAAGTCCAACAAGAAACAGATACTAAGGACTCAACATCAAACCAACCGAATAGCATCTGCTCTTGTAGACCTTCAAAAGATAACCCCAGAAGAGAAGATCCAGAAACCTATTCCCGACAGCTACATAGTCGATCGGATCCATCCCAAAAAATACAAACTCGCAGGGTCGCAGGGCCACCACTAGCCAAGGACAGTCGTGTGAAACCTAGTCAACTATCCACATCCAATAACAACAAAGTAATGCGAACTCTGACTTTGATCACAGTAGCGTTCTTCTTGACTTGGTTGCCAAGTAGCGTAGCCATTATCGCCCTCGACAGCAAGAGTAAGCATGCAAGCGTTACAGAATTTGTTCGCTGGGCGTCGTACTCCAATAGTCTTATCAATCCCATCACGTATGCCATTGCGCAACCAATTGTTCGCCAGACCATCGTGCGAATTTTGAGATGCCGTTAAAGTAAACCGATATAATCGTTGGCATTTGCAGAGAGACTAAACAGGTTTTGTGTAAAGGCGCCGTAGTCGAGTGGGTTTTTCTGATCAAAAGAAGCAGTAGATCAAAAATATTAAGCTCAATGCTAAAACGTTAATTTTGAAATGTCTGTAGACACTATGAACTTGACTGACAAAGAAAGTGGACAAAATATACAGTTCCTCAGGTAGACAAAGGAACATCCCTTCACTGCTATTATGTCAAAATGTGTAGAACAGGTGTCACAGGTGTCACATGAAGGGATGTTCCTTTGTCTACCTGAGGAACTGTATATTTTGTCCGCTTTCTTTGTCAGTCATGTTCATAGTGAGACCATCGCATAGTCATTCCTTGCATATTTCATAAAAGTTGTATGAAAGTTAAATCATTTATTCATTTTTATCAACTTATTTGTATATAGTTTTATTTTTAGAGGATAAGATTGTCATTTAGCTTAGACAACGATTTGATTAAAGGTTGAAATTATAGACAAATTAATCATCAAATTTTATATACATGTACCAAATAATGATTTAAGGCAAACTAAGAATATTTATCAATAATGAAGACTTCTTCAAAGACTTTCGTTGAAATTTACTAAAAAATTAAACAAAAACCATAACAAACAAATAGACAAGCAAGATGTGATTGTCTTAGTGCGAAGTTATATAAGGTTTTTCGGTTAGAAATTAAAGATTGGTTATTGCGAGTTTAAATGAGGGGTAACAAAAGCAAACATTATCTTCTTCTTCCCAAGGACAGGGTATAATCAAATTGTTATTTGAGAAGGGCGATATGGCTTATTTCGATATTAAAATTGCGGAAAGATTACTGTCTAAAAGACCTTATCGTGTTTTAACGAGTATCTTTTCAACTGACCAAAGAGGTTTCATAAAGAAAAAATCCGCAAAAAAAAACATACAGTTAGTACAAGATGTGATACATTATTTAAAGACATCCAGTAGCTCAGGGATTATATTCTTTTTAGATTAAAAAAAAAAGCATTTGACAATGAATCCCATTTTTCCTATTTCATGTATTTTGTAAATTCGAGTTTAAAGAATTTTTTTTTCTCACCTGGATAAAGACATTTTATAGTGATGCCATTGGTCGTGTGATGAATAATGGATGGATTTCAAAAAAGATTTTTATTAAAAAAGAAGTTCGCCAGGGTTGCCAATTATCGGCATTACTTTTTAACATCTTTAGTGGAAATATTAGCATGTAATAGCATGTAGAATAAGACAAAATAAAGACATTTAAGAGATCGATATATTCAGTGCTAAATTTAGGTATTGCTGGTCTAAAATTTTCCCAAGACGCAGACGGTACGACATTATTTGTGAATTATGTTAATGATGTACAATATATTATGAATGAAATTGACGACTTTGGAGACTATGCAGGTCCGAAAGTAAATTGGAATAAGACAGAAGTTATGACAATGAACATTGTAGAAATTTTGTATTATGATAATGAAACTATATATACGGATCAACATGTTAAACATTTAGGAGTATATGTAGGCGAAAATAAGAAATTGTTAAAAGATTTAAACTGGAATGTAAATATAGATTTAAAAAAAGTCGAAATGTATTGAATATGTGGAAAATGAGAGATCTTACTTTTTATGGTAGAATAATTGTTTGAAAATGTTAGCGGCAACAAAAATTGTACCAGTAACAAAACACGATTTAACAGATATTGAATAGACTATTATTTTATTTCGCATGGAATTAAAAAAAATAATGAAATTAAACGTGATTAATAATAAACGATATTGGAAATGGTGAATAGAATATGATTGACGTTGCTAGTGAAATATTTTCACTTTTTTTGTTGTTTTTTGCTTAGATATCTCGTTTCTTTAATGAGGATGGTTCTAATTGAAAACAAATGTCAAGATACTGGTATTTTGCCAGAATGTCTAATTTGTAGATCTTTTTGTACTGGGTCAGAACTAAACATTTTTGATATGTTTAAAGTAAGAAATATGGAAGAATGGCAAGATGCAGGTTTATTGAAAATATATAATTTGATTAAAAATGGTTTCTGAATGACTCTACATTAATGAATGAAAAAAGTGAACGCACAACAGCTCTTATTGGATTTTAAATATACAAAATTGAACAAAGCATTTCTTGAGTGGTAGTTAGATCAATTGATGTCAATGATTTTGAAGATGAATATGATATTTCGAATCATATAGAAATATAAACAGGCGATAAAGTAAATGTGTCTGTTATTAAAGTGTAAGTTAACTATCGTTTGTTAATACGGAAAAAGTAAAGAGAACAAATTGTCATTTATTTTTTGAACTCCTTTCTAGATTGAGATAATTAATTAGTTTGGAAGGATGAAATTTCATTTAAATTTAAGCAAATTCGTAATAAAAAAGTTAAACAATTATAAAAGAAAATTTACATCAATGGCAAATTGTTAATAATAATGTATGCAACACTTGTGGAAAATTTGATTCAATGTTTCACTTTTGGTGTATTGCAAGGATGTGATTTGTTTTGGAAAATATTATGTTATTTAATATTTCACCTATTCGAAGTAGAACTACAAAGAAACCAAATAATATTAGTTGTAGGTAAGGAAATAGGGAACAAGAGATATACTCTCCTATATATTTGTTCATTATGCGCAATATACAATTAAATGTTACGTTAACAAGATTGTCAACGGTTCTGTTATTTACCCGCATGCTTTGTTTTTTTTAAATTCAAATCGCTGCTAAGATTGTTTTTCAGGTTTGAATGTATTAGCAAAGAAAATAATTCTAAGCTGGAAGAAGTGTTGAATATACGGTGTAACTTAGTCTTTAGCCAATATTTTTTTCATTCAATCAATAAGTATTTAATGTTAATATGTATTGAAATTATAAAAATAAAACCTCGCTTGGGGAAAAGGGAGAGAGAAAAAAATCAAGCATTACGCCAAGATATTTGAATATGATTTTAAATTTTTCAATGTGACTATTAAAGAGGTTACAAATCTAGAAAAGAAAATGTTGTAAGTGTTTGACGAGTGCCTAACAACAAACTTTGTCTTATTTAAATTCAGCGTCAGCTTACTTTGAAGAAATCATTTTTTGCCATTTGTAGTCTGCGTTACATTTCATTTCGTTATTCATGTTTTTTTGTTGCTCTAAACAGCAGTACAGTATCATCAGCAAATATCATGTACTTCACATTGTAGACCAGTGAAAGCAAAGGGTAACCTATTTATTTATACTTTAAACACCAGCGGTCCTAATGTTGAACTCCGTGGGAGCCGAATTGTAACTGGGGCGAGTGATGACATGCGCTCATCTATTTTATTTACTCGGAGTCTGTCATCCAACTATGACAGTACTGCAACTCATGACCATTGACTGTACCAGCCTGTTACTTCTCTAATGATATATCCTAGTCCACCGTGTCAATGTCATCTTTAATTCCACAAAATTTATTCCAGTTGCATATTCTTTATTCATTCCTCTTAAATATGATCGGTAACATAGGTCAGAGAATTCAAATGGTGTGGTCTAAAACCAGACTGCTCCCGTCTTAAAACTTGCTTTCTGTTCAAAATGTTTAAGCGTTGATTGCGAACTGTTCTTTCCAATAGTTTTAATACAACAGGAAGAACAGATATGGTTCTTTAGTTCCCGATATCTTCTCGGTCACTGGTTTTATAACCTGGAGGAATTTTTGCAACTTTCCATTTATCCGGAAATATTTTTGTTGTCAAAGGAATATTAAGGAGATATGAATTTAACGATAACCGACATGCAGCTTTTAGAAGCCTGATAGATATTCCGTCAACACTGGTGGCCGCAAGTTTGTCCGATTTCAGTATATTTAATTCTTCATGAGCAAATGTGATAGTGACAGGTTGAATCCTATACTGTATATTAAAAAAAAAAAATAAAAAGAATCATTTTCGGGTTGTTTCAATAAAATTTGAAACGCTCTTATACATCATTAAACAACTAAATGATTGTTGATTTGTGCTGAAAGAGACGGAAATTTAAGGTCAATAATATTATGAAATGAGACCCGATTTGAAAAACGAAGTGCTGTACCATCATTGCTGTTATGACCAGGTCAGTTCATACGAATTATCGAATACTCTGGGGTGTTCATCTCCGATTTATTAATATCATCCTTTAACCACGCTTCGGTTAATATGGCAATTACATAAAATTTGTTTGCGACTATTAGATTGAACCCTAAAGTTAAAAAAAATAAATCATTTTCTGGTTGTCATTAAATATGAAACGCTCTTTTACAGCATCAAACTAAGTGATTCTTGAATTGTGCTGAAAGAGACGGAAATTTAAGGTCAATGATATTATGAAATGAGACACGATTTCTAACAGAAAGAGATGTACCACCATGGTTATTACGGACAGGTCAGTCCTTTCGAATTATAGAATACCTGGGAAGTTGATCTCCGCCTATATCATCGTGTAGCTAAGTTTACGTTACATCTATTTTGTTTTCGAATATTTGAAACTCCCTACCAAATTAAATAAGGCAATGTTAGCACTGTCTTCTAAAGCATCTCATATCGAAATATCAACATATTTGATTTCAACATGCAATTGGCAATTACTGTTATCTCTTGAAAAGGCTACATTTGTTTCTACTCCACTATACAACATAGAGCTATACGTGCACATCCACCATTGGCTACACACACACACTGACACACACACACACACGCACCCACACCGTCCACACACGGCAAACGTGCAGTACGTTTGGCCATGATTCATATAGGTCCTTATCCCATGTATCTATTTCATTTCAGAAAATGACTTACAGGCCTAAGTAATTATCTATATAACATAAAAGTTCGCTATTCTCTAGGAGCTGATCAAATCATAAATATCAGAACTCAAGCCCGAAAATCAATCAATTTATACATGGATGTCACACTTTGTATCAACAACAGTCCTTTATAAGCTCTTTTTTATACACTTTTATTAATGGAATATAGTTTAGTATGGTTTACATTCAATTTTATACGTTTTCTTATCGTTGCAAGTTGTATATATATGTTGTATTTTACTTGCACTGTACACAAATGTCTCATTCAGACTGTGACTGCCAGTTATATTTACAAAACCTTGATTGAATTGAAATGAATTGGATTTAGAGTACGGTCATGAAAAGCGATGTCATGCGACGTGACGTTATAACAATATAGACTTTTACAATTAAAATAAAAAGGAAACAACCAATGTAGTGCTCATTTAAGGGAGAGCAAGTTAAATAATGATTCAATGGGGATGCAGAGAGGTAGAGAGAGAGAGAGAGAGAGAGGACCCACAGTTTCACTAAAGGAGGCCCACATTGATTTTTATTTTTTATATTTCGCACAAATATTCAACGGCCTGCAACGTAATTTAAAAGATATTTCAGGCTCGTCTGACAAATTATTTGAAAACCTATAGCATACACTGTACCGAAATAATAGATTGATACTATTGAAAGTACACTGTTGGTCATAATGGTGGAATAATTATTTTTACCCCAGTTTAGGGAAGGATTTTTAAAAATTATTTATTTCTAATATATCTAGATAATGGCATACATTCTCAGATTTGATTGAATATTGATTTGCGAGTGTTTCTTTTGCGTGACTGCTACATCATATGTGTGCTACTATGCTAATCAGCTAGGGAACCTACGTCCTTAAATCATAATTGACAGTAATGAGGATTAATGCCTCACAAAAGGGCACTTATATAGCTGATCGACACGATTTTTATCCTGGGGCCTCACAGTAACGAGGCCATTGCTTAGCCCCTGAATCATGACTGTACGCAGTGTTTGTTAGGGTACGCGGCCGCCCCCACAAATTCCCCAAAACGAAGAAAATGCAATAAATTGTCAAAAATTCATTGCAATTTCCCCCCCGCCCCCAACAGGAAAAATTTCTCTGTGTGGCCATGCCTTGAACCATAATGCATGGCCCTACAGAGGAATTTTTCCTGTTGGGGGCGGGGGGAAAATGCAATGAATTTTTGACAATTTATTGCATTTTCTTCGTTTTGGGGGAATTGTGGAAAGGGCCGCGTACCCTAGCAAACACTGCGTACAGTCATGATTCAGGGGCTAAGCAATGGCCTCGTTACTGTGAGGCCCCAGGATAAAAATCGTGTCGATCAGCTATATATCAGTGCCCTTTTGTGAGGCATTAATCCTCATTACTGTCAATCATGACTTAAGGACGTAGGTCCCTTAGCTGATTAGCATAGTAACACACATATGATGAAGCAGTCACGCAAAACAAATACTCGCGAATTAGTATTCAATAAAATCTGAGAATGTATGCCATTATCTAGATCTATTAGAAATAAATAATTTTTAAAAATCCTTCCCTAAACTGGGGTAAAAATAAATATTCCACCTTTATGACCAACAGTGTATTAATACAAATTGACAGTTGGGAATATAAAAAAGGAGTGGAAAGTAAGCTCGTTTCCTGTCATTCCTTCTTTCTTCTCGATTTCTTTTTCTTCCACTCAGCAGTTTGACAGTTTACCCATATTTTACAATCCAATTGTCGTATTGACAAGTTTGGCGGATACTTGTAGAAAACAAAGCAACTGTGGACTTCGTGCGATCGCCAAAATAATGAATACAACAAACTATACTTGAGACAAAAGTTTATTCATCTCCTACTACAGTACTCTAAATGATTGTACAGCATTGAAAGACCACTCAGTATTAGAAATAATGGAATCCACTTACAAATGTGTGATTGCAACCGCTACTTTGATGTCAATTTCACTATGATTTGGGGTTGATTCAACTGACCATCCGAAGTGGTCGGTAGAGGTGTCGTGGATGAGTGCATACGTCGCCGGACTGTCAATCACAAGGTCCGCGGTTCGAGCCCCGCCGCGGCACTGATGTCCTTTGGCAAGACATTGATCTACATTTGCCACTCTCCACCCAGGTGTTAAATGGGTACCGGTAGGAAGGAATTCCTTAAAATGCTGTAAGCGTCGAAATCGGCAGCCTAGCATAGCCGGGTAATGTTGGAGCGCCTTGAGGACCTTGCAAGGTCGATACTTGCGCTATATAAGAACCCATTATTATTATAATATGACTCATAATAGAGTTGATTTCCATCCCTCTGGCTGTATTAACCATTTCAGGACAGGATTTCGTTTTAGGGGCTGCATTGATCAAATTGACAACAATATTTTTTAAATTTTATTGCTACATTGTTAAAATAAGATGAAATGTCTCTAAAAGCAATATACATGAGCGAGAATGTTATTGAAAATTAAATTTGTTGAAGCTTTTCTTTTTTCTTTTTCTTTTTTAATTCCTGGCATCAAAACTTTTGCCATTTCTGCTCCTGCTTCTGGAATATTTTTAGGGCTCTAAATCAAAGGTTATTGAGCCAAACCAGTACAAACGACAAAATTTGCAATAATTGTCACCCAAGATTTAAGAGAATTATATCCGCACCTTACACAATTTGTTAGAAATGATTGTCTTCATGACTGAAAATGCGTACGCCTGACACGTAGCATGCGTAACAGGCTAGAATAAGTTTGTTGGGTGTTTATCATCTTCTTCAACATCATCATCTCATTATTATTATTACTATTCTTATTTTGCTTCTTCTTCTTCATTCTACTTTTGATTTTCTACTTTTGAAGCACCAGGACAGACATTGCTTAGAACAAATGTAGAGAAGGAACACGATGACACCTATGATCCCGACGATGAAAGCGAGAACGTCGATCGAGTGAAGCTGGATGAAGCTGAGTTCCAAGGCTCTAGATCTCAGGTGTGACCCTCCAAATTTGAGGATGTGTTCGACCCAGTAGACCACAGTTTCATCCGGGTGAGCCTGGGTGTCTCTGTAGATTCTTGAAGATCTGCGGACGTTTTCCCTGTAGCTGGAAATTTAAAGCGCGAAAGTATAATATGCGAAAGGATCTTGAGTTTCAAACAGCGATAGCCTATAAAAACATAGATTTTAAATTAATATGACATGATTAAGAAAGTATATGTACTGAATATCAATAATAAAATAGGTTTATCCACTTTTCAATTTCAATTTCAAATTTATTCATGTTTCCAACAAAACATTACAAATCAATTATAAGCATTTAAAACAAATTTTAGAAATACATGTTGGAAACAGAGGGGTCCACTAAAAAGTGTGAACACCTCAAATAAAACTTAGGAATAATGAGTAATTAAATTGACTAATCTGTAACTGCAAAAGGAACTACAAAATAGGGGAAAGAAAAAGGGGGATGCCAACAGAGACGAGAAAGGGACAAGACAATACTTTACACGACAAAGATAGAAGAACACGGTCATAATACAAAGAGTAGACACTGACAAAAAGAAGTGAGAGATCGAGGGTACAGAAAATAATACTAAATGATGAGCTGCATGTGGGGTTGAGAAGAAGATAAGGAAAGAGAAATGCGCGTTAGAACGGAAATAAGCATGAGAAGGAACAATATAATGTATCAAATTACATCTTGAGTCAGTGAGCGGAGAATGATCTTGTATTAAGCAAAAGCAAGGAGCGAGGAACACTTCCATAGTCAAAGGCATATGAACCAGGATATGATGAATTGCTTTTATTACCAGTCATTCATATAGAAGATTTTTATATAACCCCCAATGCTGACTTTTTCATCGTACGAGCAGGCAATTTTTCACAACCATATAATGTTAAAAAAAAAAACGCGCAATGTTATTTTGTTTGTTTAAATTTGTCTGTTTTGAATTGTCCCTGGTGGCAGCATCAACTAGCCTCGGGCCGGATGCGGTTTGTATGTCGCAGTTTATTAAATCTGCGTCATCATCATGAGGTTCCATGACACATGCTCCGCCGACGATTGCTCCGCCGACATTTACTCCGCAAAACGCGACAATTGCTCCGCGACATTTGCTCCGCGACAGTTGCTCCGCCGACAGTTGCTCCGCCGACATTTGCTCCGCCGACATTTGCTCCGCCGACAATTGCTCCGCCGACATTTGCTCCGCCGACATTTGCTCCGCCGACAATTTCTCCGCGAACAATTGCTCCGCAAAACGCGACAATTGCTCCGGTGACAAATGATCCTCGAATGACAGTTGCTCCGCCGACAATTGCTCCGCCGACAATTGCTCCGCAAAACGCGACAATTGCTCCGGTGACATTTGCTCTGCCGACAATTGCTCCGCCTACAATTGCTCCGCCGACATTTTCTCCGCCGACAATTGCTCCGCCGACAATTGCTCCGGTGACAAATGCTCCTCGAACGACAGTTGCTCCGCCGCCATAACTTAGAATTGTGACACTTTTCAGTAACTCAAAATCATCGTGACGTCATCCAGGCGCTATTTTGTGGAAATCGACTTTTAATCATGTCTTCATAACGAGTCATCAAAACTGAACCATATTTAAAACACACGAACTTCAGGTCAAGGTTCGACATAACATCTCATCAAAATCCGCGCGCGTCTGAATTTTAAAATGCTCAAATTCACTTTTTAATCAAAACAGAGTATGTTCTAGGCCATTTAAAGAATTTCGAAAATTATGCTCGCGCGTTTTTGCGTGTAACGCCATTACACAACAAAGAAACGCAATTTTTTGTTCTTTCATGATATTTCATAACGGAATGCGCGTCCGTTTAAATTTGAAATTCAAAGAAAATCCCAAATATGTCAACTTATGTATGACTAGAAACTGGTAATCTAACAGATGGCCATCGTACAAGTTATAGGTCAACTACAGATCGGGTGATTTATAAAAAATACAAATACAACCACCTCCATAGCAGCTGGGATATACCAGAGATTCGCCGGAAAAATAACGATGTTTTAGTGACGTCACTATATGGACCAACATTGCCCAAGCAGACGACATCCCATAGAGAATGAACATATTAATTGCAAAGCTATTATTTGTCAAATTATAATGAGTTAAGTGTATATAAATGTAATGGCATGTCAAACCATTCAAAAGGAGATATGACCCGATTCTGATAACTAAAATATTTTGCTTGTAAATACACAGGATTGGGGTTAATTAACAATCAAAGAAACCAGACTTTCAAATTGAAAACCCCCTGGAATGATATTAAGGACGGAATTGTTCCCTCTTGAAACGCCGAACATACCCCGATGTGTACAGCTGAATATACAATGGCGTCTTATTTTGTTTACAAGCGACAGATTCCTTTATTTTTGTATCGCTGCATTTGTCATCAAAATAAAACCATTCGCGGGGTTAAGAGTGAGGCAATAGATTATACATTTAGCCTGACGGTAGTGAAGTAAGAGAAAGGACTCAAGAAAAAATGAAAACACAGGCACTGAAAATGTGTGAGATGTCATGGGGCATCGTCTGCTTGTGCAAGTCATGTCCATACTGTGATCTCACACATCTCAGTAGCGTTCGGAGAGCTCTTCCGGTGCTATGCCCATGCTGTATTTAAGCGTTTTGTAATTTATAATAATCGTTACTTCGAATATTTCCAAGCATTGAATTTTGATAACCTTGTCGAATCAAAGTTTCAACTTTGCAATAATTGAAATAAATTTAGTTTTTAAAATCAATGAATATCAACTTTAAGATAAATTGCCGTGTGCACGAGCACATGTAATACAGAGCATATATAGGCAAAAACATGATTACACAAAATCCATCACAGCTCTTTGGGATGCACCTAGACCCCCAATTGTTCTTTTATTTTGATTATATGAGTCGGAGATATGATTTCATTTCTCATTTGGCCATTAAGTACATTTTAACGTCATCATAATGGCCTTGGAAGTCAAAATACGAATTTGCATATTATGACGTCGACATATTTACAGAAAATGATTGTATCTCTGCAAATATTGATCAATTTTCTTCTAAATTTTGATACGTTGTAGCTGAGACAATTCTTCACAAGATTATTACCAATATTTATTCATTTTGATGACGTCATTAGATTGTTTGCTTAATATGCGTCTTATGCCTATGGGAGGTGAATGATACTACATTCCAGTCTAGACTTGTTCATTATGTTGCGTATGTAGTGCGTCGAAATATCAGTTCAATGATTGGTAGGCTCTGCAATCAGGCGAAAATTTGAGCTTGTTTAGTAAATTAATCATATAACAATTGTCTATCGAATTCATGAAGGGGGCGCTATACCACTTTTAATCATTTTCATCGTCATTTAAAACAAATATATCATCATCATCAATATCTTTATTATTTATGAATATTATCATTAGATCATCATTGGCACACTTTCATGATACAAAAATAGCATACGGTATCACCTAATTCGTCAAAGTGACGAATTAAAGTCTAGTTATAATTGTTAATCATATCATTATGATCATCTGTATTATCAGCATAATTCTACAATGGCAGTAGTATAGTATAGTCATGTAGAAGTAGGCCTAGTAGTAGAGGTATCATTCTGATCCTTATTATCCTGATTATCTTTTGCAATACGTCTATATAGACGATAAACTCACGACAATTTACAATTGTCACGAATCATTGTCTTTAAACTTACCATTAAATGCATCTGGTTCGAATTTTGCTCAGGTATTTGGTACGTGATGATTTAAATGGTAGAAATGAACTTGTGTCCTATTCATTCTAGTCTTATTCATTTGCATTATGTTTTATTCATTCAAGTTCTAATGTTTCTGACTGTTTTCAAGACAATATTTTTTTTGTCGATCATAGTTCTATGTAGCTTGATATCTCACGGTAATTTTGAGAGAAAAGCAATGCAAGCAATGATTTCTGAATTGCAGCGACAATCGCGTTCGCCTTTGCTGTCCTTCAATAATATTTGACAAGCAGTATTAATTAATTTTTCAAGGACTCAAGATACATTCGTTTAACAGTTGATTACCCTCGGTTGATTCTTTTGTTCGGATTATTTGGCGGGGAAAATGTATTATTGAAAATGTATTAGTGAATGTATTATTATTCTTATTTGTTCATCGTCTCTACGATGCCCTTTGAATCAAAAACAGATTTTAGTGTTAGGCTTCCTGAAAGAAATTTCAACTGTTGTTAAGAATTTTTTGGTTGCACTCTGTAGATTATGATGATGTGTTGATCTTTTTTTCAATACAAGATCAAACACATGAAGAAAATCTACTGGCTGCATGCCAATAAGTTCTTGACAACAATAACAAAATGTGAGCTAGTGCTATTCGGTGTGGCGTACACTTGGCAATCACATGGTAGATAAAATTATGATCATCAGTACTGGGTCAAATAAATTAAAGAGAACTGAATTTGAACCCGGACCATAGGCTACCCCCTCTCGTTCGCTCTCCCTCTCTCTCCCTCTTCGTCGCCTTACTTTTCCCTCTCTTACCTCCCTGTGCATTTGTATGCCTCGATAATACAACAAATAAACAATAAGATTTTTCCTCTTCCCCTCCTTCTTCCTAGTACATGTAGTAGGAGTAGTACTAGAAGCAGTATCACAATAATAATGACAACAATGATTATTATGGTTGGTGGTGTTACTAATGTTATTTTTGTAATTATTATGTTTGTTATTGTGATTATTATCCTTATCATGATTATTATCGTTAATATAAGTTATTATTGTAATTATTATAATCATTATTATTGTTATCTTTATGATGAATATGAACGCGATGATTTTGATGACGATTAGTATAAGTATATAGTATTATTATAATTGTTATCATATCATTATTATCATCTGTATTATCAGCATAATCTACAACGGCAGTAGTGTAGTATAGTACATGAAGAAATAGGTCTAAAAGTAGAGGTATCATTCTGATCATTATTATTCTGATTATCTTTTGCAATACGTCTAGACGATAAACTCATGACAATTGACAATTGTCATGAATCATTGTTTTTAAGCTTACCATTAAATGCATCTGGTTCGAATTTTGCTTAGGTATTTGGTACGTGATGATTTAAATGATAGAAATGAACTTGTGTCCTATTCATTCTAGTCTTATTCATTTGCATTATGTTTTATTCATTCAAGTTCTAATGTTTCTGATTGTTTTAAGACAATATCTTTTGTGTCGATCATAGTTTTATGTAGCTTGATATCTCACGGTAATTTTGAGAGAAAAGCAAAGCAAGCAATGATTTCTGAATTGCAGCGACAATTGCGTTTGCCTTTGCTGTTCTTCAATAATATTTGACAAGCAGTATTAATTAATTTTTTTAAGGACTCATGATACATTCGTTTAACAGTTGATTACCCTCGGTTGATTCTTTTGTTCGGATTATTTGGCGGGGAAAATGTATTATTGAAAATGTATTAGTGAATGTATTATTATTCTTATTTGTTCATCGTCTCTACGATGCCCTTTGAATCAAAAACAGATTTTAGTGTTAGGCTTCCTGAAAGAAATTTCAATTGTTGTTAAGAATTTTTTGGTTGCACTCTGTAGATTATGATGATGGTTTTGATTTTTTTTTCAATACAAGATCAAACACATGAAGAAAATTTACTGGCTGCATGCCAATAAGTTCTTGACAACAATAACAAAATGTGAGCTAGTGCTTTTCGGTGTAGCGTACACTTGGCAATCACATGGTAGATAAAATTATGATCATCAGTACTGGGTCAAATAAATTAAAGAGAACAGAATTTGAACCCGGGCCATAGGCTACCCCCTCTCGTTCTCTCTCCCTCTCTCTCCCTCTTCGTCGCCTTACTTTTCCCTCTCTTACCTCCCTGTGCATTTGTATGCCTCGATAATACAACAAATAAACAATAAGATTCTTCCTCTTCCCCTCCTTCTTCCTAGTACATGTAGTAGGAGTAGTACTAGAAGCAGTATCACAATAATAATGACAACAATGATTATTATGGTTGGTGGTGTTACTAATGTTATTTTTGTAATTATTATGTTTGTTATTGTGATTATTATCCTTATCATGATTATTATCGTTAATATAAGTTATTATTGTAATTATTATAATCATTACTATTGTTAGCTTTATGATGAATACGAACGTGATGATTATGATGACGATTAGTATAAGTATATAGTATTATTATAATTGTATGGGACATGACTTTTTTCAAAACTGGATTCTACATTCCCGTGTTTCGCGAGCAATATCTCCGTCGTTTTAGCTTCGTTTACGCTGAAATTCGAGTATGTTGTAGACAATAAGCTATCTTAAATTTGCCCTTTATTTTGTCTCAAATTTTAGTTAGACCAGCCCACCTATTCTTGTTCAAAACAAGTATTACAAATCTAGTTATTATTATTGTCATCAACATTCATTCATTTCATTTCATCTACATTATTTCATGAAATGCATTCAGAAAATGAAGAAGAAAAAAAAACGAAAATAACCCGTGAAAAAAAAATATTGTCGGCGAAGCATTTGTCGTAGTACTAGTAGCATTTGTATTTCATGGGACACTTTTTGGGCGGAACAATTGTCGGCGGAGCAAATGTCACCGGAGCAAGTGTAGCCTTTAAACAAGGCCACATGCCTGATAGACGCCGAGCGACTAACAAGAGACTAATCGCGAAAACCTGAATGAACGCCAGTGCGAATTGTCCAGACCTGTGGCCTTTATCAATCTGGTTTGGATTTCTTATGTTAACCCTTGTTTCCGACTGGAACTCGCTTCAGTAAACGTAGTGTCCAATCAGCGAACGTATCCTAGCACGACGTCAGCATATAGTATCCATCACACACACACACACACACACACACACACACACACACACACAGAGTAAACTCTACGTAGTGCGAACATGGACCTACATGCCTACTATACGTACGTGCTAAGACCACTGACCACTGACCTCTACATGGAACGAATCACGAACGAAGCCAACTAGGAGATCGCCGTTCTGATTGGTCAATGGATCCAAAGTAGGCGTATTGGCCTACTAATATGTATCTATGAATAATTCATGCGGAGCAGTGAAACCCACTTTCCAAAAGGCCTCATGACATTCGTCATTCGGTCGCGCGTTCACTCCGGGTATCTAGGCTCATCTCAGCCGCTTAGCCAGAGTCAACGAGGCCTTGTCAAAAGGCTAGAGCAAGTGTCGCTTCAGGCAGAGCAAATGTCGGCGGAGCAACTGTTGGCGGAGCAATTGTCGGCGGAGCAAATGTCACCGGAGCAATTGTCGGCGGAGCAATTGTCAGCGGAGCAAATGTCGGCGGAGCAATTGTCGGCGGAGCAAATGTCGGCGGAGCAACTGTCGTTCGAGGAGCATTTGTCACCGGAGCAATTGTCGGCGGAGCAATTGTCGGCGGAGCAAATGTCGGCGGAGCAATTGTCGGCGGAGCAATTGTCTTCGGAGCAAATGTCGGCGGAGCAAATGTCGGCGGAGCATATGTCGGTGGAGCAAATGTCGGCGGAGCAATTGTCGGCGGAGCAAATGTCGCGGAGCAAATGTCGCGGAGCAATTGTCGCGTTTTGCGGAGTAAATGTCGGCGGAGCAATCGTCGGCGGAGCATGTGTCGGGTTACCCATCATGATCTATGTAGTTAGGGATATTCCAGCCAGCTATTAAAATTCTTAATTGTAATTTCTGAAAACAAAGTGTGTAAAATAGTGACACAAGACAATAATACTAAACAACATTATGTGAGCAATAAAATCCTTGTCATATTTAGAGGTGTAGTAGTCGAGTGGTGTAATCTCTTGTATGGAAAGCCAAGGGTCGTGGGTTCAAATCCCGGCACGGCACTTAATGATCAAGGCATTTTTATCTACACTGATCCTCTCCATTCAGGTGTTAATATGGGTATGATGCGATTGGATTAGCATATGCACGCTCGTAAAACGGCGACTATGGCTGGAATGCTCCCCTGGGAGTGGAGAATGTGCACTGTAATGCGCAGAATAGAAACGTTATCCAATTATCGGGTAATAACGATAATACTGTTAGCACTTTGGTTGGTAAATGATAAATTATCATTGTTATGATTATAGTATATTACCTTGGATTTTCCAGGACATCGATGACCGCTTCCATCACGGTCTCGTAGGAGATATGGTCTTTCTGGAGAATTCTTCCCATGCCTTTAGCCTCGACCTTGACGGCGTTGGAATCTTGCTCAGCAAATATTGGCATGACGACCATGGGGACGGCGTGGTAGATCGCTTCGAAAATACCTGTCAGACCGCCATGGTATATCAGTAGTCGGGCTTTCGGGTGACCTGTAACCATTGCAGTTCACATATTTTTTAAAGTCTAGGTAAAATTACCTTTTTCTTCATCAAATTGACACCAGTATTTATTATTATTTTTAACTCCTACGTATTTCAAAAATAAAAATGTCTATGAAATAAACCAGTGTTAATGAAAATGAATAAATTCAACCGAAAGAATTTATTCACCAACAAGTGATTATAAATTTAACACCACGTTGCCAATTTAGAGATTTTATTGATTACGTATAATAATATGTTCTTTTTCATGAACTTCAAAGTGTACTGCATCGGTAGGCCTACTGCCTTAGAAATGGACTTAAAATGTAATATGATTTTTGCTCATTCTGCTCACGTACTATCTGTAATTCTCAGAATTCTAGATCAAAGGATACTTTAAAAAGTCACTAAAAGGAGACACTGAATCAGGACTGCCATGTGTTAAATGGAAATTTACAAGTACAGAGCACAGTCAGAGAAAATCTCTTTCACCTTTCTTAAACATCAATAGGGCTGCACCATTTTCTAAAAGTGATGTTCATGTGAATGCTTCTTTTATAAGTTGCAAAAGGTATTCGTGTCAGAAATTGCAGCAACTGAGATCCCTTAATCTCCCGCCAGCGCACACACACACGCAGGCACCTATCTCACGCACACAAACGCGTACACATTTCGTATAGCATACTTTTTAAAAGAGAATCTAGCAAACATACCAAGTAGATCATTTTGTGGCATCCAGTCTACCAGCATGGTGTTGTTACCTAGGTAACGAGGGCGTTTCCCAGTATGCCGCCAGATGACTCTCTGTGGAAGATCACTGAAGACTCTCGCAAAGGCCTCTGCCATGTGTTTCGGAAGCTCACCGTAATTATTACCCTGAGTTTTGAAAACAGATAATTAATCATGGTATGTGTGTATTTCTAACAGGTTACTAGTAAATGATTTTTTTTTAATGCCAATCTTTATCAAATTCCATACCTGAATATGAGCCATATAGGTTTGCGATGAGGGAGGGATCTTGGGTCTGAACTTCTTTTCGAAAATTATTCAAGCTCAATTAAAAGGGAGAGGCATTGACAATGAAACAAAAAAAATGAAAATGTTGATATTTTATACGGCTCATTTTACTCTTTTTACATTATTAAGTTACATTAATTATGCTCTCTTAGTGACGAAGTATTTTAGTCACTTGTACAAGTTGTTGTTTGTCAAAATGCAGTTTAAATAATTAGTTTTTGCTAGGTCAGAGAAATATTAAAGCTTGTCCAACCTAACACCAACTGATAGGCCTATGTACAAACTGCATTCTGGCAATTTCATGGTAACTCGACTAAAGCAGGGGCATACTATAATCACAGGGCCCTTAGGAAGACCAGTATTAATACCGAGGCTGCCCTAGGTAAATGAGACAAACCATAATTTTTATTGTTATTATTGAGATACAAAACAGCAAAATATTCGTTACTGGGCACATTTAGAGGAGGATGCATAAATATGAATGCATTACAAGAAACGCTGATATTACAAGAACATCAAAATATTGTTATCTTTAATCTTCACATCATCTTACCAATGCCAATATGATGAAGCCGTGTTCCCCCGACCCCTCAACAAAGGCTTCGTATTCCTTCAAGAAAAGAAAGAAAATGAGGTAATGCTAAAGCTATCCTGCATATAGTGAAAGAAAAAGAATCTTTATAAAATGATGGTTTGGGGGATTTCTGTTGATCTGAAAGTATATTGATTAACATGGGGACATCGCGTTAGACCGACAGCCCATGAAATAGATATATTCAGGCACCATGCTACCCGAAAATAAAGCGGTTGATGCCCGAGTATCGGAACTTTAAAAATGGTTCGAATCACAGTCCAGCACTGACGGCCGGTGGAAAGACATTAATCCACATTTGCCACTCCACATGCAAGTGTACGCGGGTATACCTGGCATTATTGTGGTTAAAATGGCAGGAGCTGCAGGAAGAGCGATATTGACACTGATGTGGCTACCCTGGGCAAATAAAACCAAAATATAATAATTAGAACAATAATAATTATAGTAATTTTATCATAAGTATCATTATTATTATCCTTTTATATTTCATTGAATATATTCTATTTATTGTATCGTTACTACCATTTTTACTGTTGGTGTTAATATCATTATTACTATTATCATTATCAATTTTATAAAATTTACCTTGTTCAATTGTTTCGCTGGAATATCAGCAATATTTCCGATAGCCACCCAATTGGGTGCGATAGGGTGAGAAAAATCAAATGCAAAGGTTGTCATGCACAGCCACAACTCTGCTCCACCTACAAGATCTGTAATGCTTCGACCTGGAGCGATACCATGCTTGTCTTTTATCTTGTCCATAGCCCCGAAGTGTACCCAATGTGAAAAGCTCAGGACAAAGTTATGCTCTATGAAGCTGGCAACACGCTCCAGAAACGTCATCCTGTCTGACAAGGGGAAGGTACCCAAGGGTACGTACGATGATGGCGATGGAATTCCGTAAAGGTGCTCGTGGAAGAACGGATATCTCATTGATGTTGTCAAGGCAATGTACGGTATTCCTAGGTAACTACTGAGGATCGCATCACATCCGTCAAAGGCATCCCCGATAAGGATGTCAAAGTGAGATTCCTTGAGCATAGCTAACGTCGCAGAGTCTTCAAAGAGATACTGGCAAGCTATCCTCGTCAAATAAAAAAAATTCCCCAAACCTATCACTTTCTTCAACTGACTCTTCTCAAACGAAATCTTTCTTATCATTTCTTTAGTGGCGTGAAATTCTGGAGGATGCTCGAATTTGTACTGGAGGGCGCTGTTGTAGGTGTCCCTCTGGAACCCTTTTGTTCCTACAACTGAGCAGGTGAGGATGGTGACATTGTGGCCGTGTCGGGTCAACGCTCCTGTCATGGCGGACATACTTTTGGCATGGCTACTGGCCAGCGGGAGTAAGACAGATGCGAGGATGTCTGCACCATTGGTCAAAGGCATGACCTGGATGGCGATAACCGTTAGGGTCAACAGCACGAGGCTCGGAAAGAGTTTCATCACTTCAGAGGCTTGATGCTGCTCCGTTTGAACGGTATTGATGCCCCTTTGTCGAAAGTGGGTCAAATCCTGCAAAGGTCTGTCAACGGAAATAATCAATGTGAATGTTTAATCTTACAGTTTAACAGAATTTTCTTTTCTTGCGTAGGGCCTAACCATTTAGGAGGTTAATTCTTGGTCTAACCAAGCACCACAAGTTAGTACACAGCCCTGAACGATCACCATTTTGACATATTTTTCCAACGTGAACAGTTCTCGATCGAGGTGGACGAGGTTCCCTAATTAATTTTGTTTTGATTTTGCATTCAACCTATTTGTTTATTCCTCTGTATTTTTTGTTACTTGATTGTAATCCAAACTGTGATCATTTGATTATAATTATAAACGTCTTCGTATCGACAAAATGAGGAAAGTAGTTGGAATCCTCAACAAACAGTGGGGAGGGGTGGGGGGGGGGTAGTAGATCTACACAGTCCCACTTATGTAGATCCAATGTTGGATCCGCTGCTATCCCACCCTCCCCCTCCCCAGCCAACCCAAGGGCCATGCGAACGCCGGCTCTGATGGAGGGGGTCGAATATTCAATCTCTTCGGAGGATTGCGGCAAATCAAGAAGGGGGATGTATGAAAATATTCTTTTAAAAATGTAGGTGAATCTCGTACTCTCTAAAAAAGAAGAAGTGAATGTTCACTCTATTTTCACTATATGTCACTCTCCAGAGGAGATTTTTTTTAGAGAGTTATATGACGTCATGAACACGGCTCCACGGTTCTACCCCCCTTCTTCCACAGATTGCATGATTTTGTGCCGTTGTAGACAAAATAATCTCCATGGCATGTGTAATCAGTAGCGTACGCAGGAATTTTTCGAGGGGGCAGGGGGGAGGGGGAAGAGCACATTTAAAAAAAAATTGTTTTTGTCCTGGAAATTGGAAAATTATGACGATCGACATTTCGTTCAGGGTGGGGGGGGGGGGGGGGTGGGGGGATAGGTCACTTTTTTGTCACCCTTTAGCATACACACAAAACAATTGAGGGGGTACCCCCCCCCCTCCCTGCGTACGCGCCTGTATGTAATAAGCCAGTTTGTAGATACAATCTGTGCATGCTGGGCAAACAAATATCATGAATTATTTTATACCCAAAATGTAAAATTAACAGACTCGGACGAATCCGGAATAAGCGCGCTCGCGACAGTATGTAATCGTTATTCATTTATGCACCGACGGAACATTGACTGTTGACATTGACCTATTACGAATGGACATTCATCGTTTTAACGAATTCAATGTGATTGTCTCCGTCAATGTCGTCTCAATAACATTCCGTACATGTTTCTTCACTTTGATCTCATGAGGTCCACTGCCAATAAGCTGGGATAGAATCAAGAAAGTGATTTTAAACATGTTAGTATGCATGCGCAGAAGACAATAAATCGCTTAAATCACGGGAAATCGATGTGCAGTTGTGGTTAATAATCGGAAATTGTTGTACCGTGTACTGTCTTTTTAAAAAAAAATAACATGTTGATGTATTTATAGAAAGGTTATATTTGGATTGTTTGGGATTTAAAATTCCGTTTTCCCCAATTTCCTCATAATATTCCAGAATTACAACGCACATGGCTTATAAAGATCATGGCCTTCTAATTGTTTTATTAGGTCATTGGTGCTCGCGAAAGTGTGCGAACCAGTAATAATAAATTTCATATCACCAAAATCGTTTGCTTTTCAAATTTGCTGCTCCCCATTGGTAACTCTTTTTATTTAAGACACACTCTTACAGAGCACACCATCCAAACAAAACCCAAGAGAGGGAAACTGATCCTTTGGGCAAACAAAAGGTATTCCTGAAGCACATTCACGCAGCAATCGTTCTAAGACATACATAAAGTGAAACCACTACTCTATACTCAATACACGTGTGGATATCTTCGAATAACCGCAATGGAAATAATGGCAATGGCAATGGCAATGAAGTATTTGCTGTAACATTGACCTTTGGTCTTCAAATAATTCTGAACAATAGCACTGTGTGGTACAGATTGTGATTGCACGAAGCCTCTTTCGAGCGGAAAGTGTATAGGCCGGGTCTATAGGCTGTAGACAATTATCATATAGTTGTAGAGGTTTACTAAATATGACCACAATGTATATTTGCAATTTATCTAACAACGAATTCAATACATTGAATTCGTTGTTAGATAAATTGCAAATCATTACTATCCAAGATGTAGATGCATCAGCCATCAAGTTCAAAATGAAATGAATAAAAGAGCTCAAGCTTACCACACAGTACACCAACTGAAGTCGATGCCTAGACGAATGGCTCATGTAACTGTATACTGCAGGGGACCAGGGATCAAGGTGTCACAAAAGATGCCTGGACATCAAACACTGATCCTGTTTATTCTAATACGAAAGGCATGTGGTGTAGCTACGTGGGTACGGGGTTATACATACACCCCTCCCACACACACACATGCGCACACACGCGCACGCACGGTTATAACTGTAATCTTCTGCATTTTTCTACACACAGTTCGGATAATAATTTAAATGTATAATTATATGTTATACATTGTAGAAATATGAAGTTCGCTATTATGTTAATGTATCTAATTCGCATTTTGACACTAAGTGTTCAATGTTTTTATCAATGGACCTGAAAAAAAATTAGTATTTTTTTATATGTATTATATCTTTATTATTAAGATAATGTATTAGGTAAAGTGCAGATATAAAAAAAAAATCAGATCAAAATCGAAATATGAGTTGCGCAAAAGATCCACTTTAAAGCTGACATTCTAAGCAAATAAATGTCCATTAATTTGGTACCAACGACAAGCTTAAGCTAATTACAAGTTTTTAGTTTACATAGTGTATCACAAAAAAAATCTGGCTACTCGATATGCTCAATTGAAATGTCGAAAATAGCCCCCTCTCATGCATAGAAAATTTGTGACATCTCGACCAGGAAAAGAGTATATTCACGTACCCGGATGTTCCATAGAAAAGCATGTGCAGAGAGATACGATTTTCTGCTTATATTGTTTCAAAGGCTGAAAAGTTCAATAAATCAAAATTCTATGTACAAATCTTTACCTTCCCCTAATATTTCATAGTATCAATATCAATTCCCCTTTTTAGAATTATGACAAATACATGCCCACGATGTGCTATTAGTCGATATTTTCACCATATAATTGTTTTTGTGTTTTGAAATCAAAATGGTATGTTATGTAGATCCGGTCGTTTGTCTTTATACTTTTCGCTTTGGTCTGTTTGCTCTAGCTAGCTTTTAATATATACAGGTACGGGTAAGGTAATGGCTGGTAAATTTGACCAGAACGATCTTTTTATGGATTTTGAAGAGTTTATGGAGGGAGATTATGAAAGTGATGAATGAGAAAGGGTCGAGAGTGCAGACGGGGACGATTTTTTCAAATTCTGACACCGGTAGTCACTGAGGAGCAGGTCTTGATTAGTTTTTTGTCCTTAGCTGGTATTAAACGTCGTTTTCATTCTCTTGCCTATATACAGATACCTAGTGCACGTTTGTTCCACAAGCCGCCGAAAGCAGCGGCCTGGTTTTACCTGCCGATTCCGCTCGCTTCATGAACGTTCGTGCAAGAGCCGCACCACTCCACTCGCAGAAGAATATGGTTCAATCACTAATCATAGACGTCGTCAGCTATAGAGGAAATGCGCTTGATCTCGTTTAAGTTTGATATATTAAAAATAAAACATTTAACAGGTATACTGTATCCCTTTTTGAGGCAGTCACACACATCTATGATAAGTAGGCCTACTATATAGGCCTATTCATTTTACAAAACTGCTCCTGTACCTTATCTGATGACAAGATAATGTATATGTGCACCCGCCTATTCAGTAAACTCAAGCAGCAAACTCGTCTTAAAACTCTACCAAAAAAGGAGAATATGAGGATAAAAAAAGAAATCAGTGTCTGGAAAATGTTGCTTCGTTATTCTTCATGCAAATGAAAACAGAAAATCCATCACATATACTCATTAACAAAAAACAAACAATCTAAGCTCTGACAGGATAGGATTTACGTAGACATATCACTGGCATTTACTCTCACTAAGCCCATGATCACCGTTTGTGACGTCACGAATAAAGGCCCTACTCTACGTGCAATTCCGTGTTTCAGACTTCGAGATTTTGGTGTAGTTTACTCGCATAAAGTCACCATTCTGAACTTGTTTTGTCGATTGGACACCATTTAGTGTTATTCTGGGGTTGAAATCTTTCTATTGATGTAATTATCTCAATATTTGGGATTGTCTTAGAATGTCAGCTTTAAGCGTTATAATTTGAATGTTTAATTGAGCAATTTACAAGCATCATTTGTCTCAGCCTGTTTCGTTAAGCATTAATGACTTTTAAAAGCTAAACTTTCTGGTGCAAGTTGATAACTATCATCTAGCTGTATAATGATAATTTGTACTCATGCATAAACTTGATGTGAAAATTGAGTGAAATGTTTTTGAATATAGGTGAGCTTGCATGTGTATAGCTTGATGTAGATTGAATACGTCCATATTGATGTGAACCATACTTTTGGTTGAATACTTTTTTTTTTATCAATTACTATAATGGCTCAAGCACACCAAGTCTAATATCATTATAATTAGGGTTGACAGCAAACGTGCTTTCGCCTTTTTTTTGAATAGTTACATAATCATTCATAAAAAGTGTAACAGTACCAGCTAAATTATGCGCGATCACTTTTTGGGCCTCTATGAATACAAGCAAAATTGTATGTTAATAACATTTCGGGCGGACTAATATATTATCCGATTGGTGATATTTAGAGTCGTTCCATGTGAGCATGTATTGCATCTTATGAGGATTGTCGAAATTAGTCTTTGAGCACGTCTAAGAGATTCATTGACACGTCATTGCGAAGTCATTGATTTCATCCCGTGCTCTGCCGTCATTGAAAATGCGATTATATTAACAATCTATTCTGGAAGTGTTAAACAACCTCACGCTACCGAACGGAGGAACCGCATACAACTAGATTAAAACGCTAAACTCTACGTCTCTATCTATTAATAATGATTTTTATATCAGCGCAAATGTTCCGTGTTTGACTTAATTTGGATTCGAACTTGAAATGTAATCCAAAGCAAACGCTCAAAAACGCCAAAATACGTCCCGCCGCATTACTGATACTGAATTAGTTGCTAAATTACAGTTCAGTTTAAAGAAAGGTTATGAAAATGGACACTGAGGATTTACGTTCTGTTGCTGTTTGTATGTTTGACTCGATGAATGTGACAGAATCAATTCCATCGACAGGTGGTCTTACTGACAGATCTGTAGCTATTTTTAGCCTCCTCATGTTCTTGTCTTTAACCACAGCGGTGCTAAACGTTCTGATTCTAATAGCATTCCACATCGAGAAAAAGTTGCGGACGTACTCAAACCAGTACATCCTCAACATCACCATCTCCGATCTTCTGGTGGGGTTCATCATGGCGATCCGCAGTATTGTCTATCTCTATGATGAGTGGATATTCGGACAAACCCTTCTAAATGTGTTTATAGGTATTCAGAATACAGTTGTAACTGTATCCATTCTCGGTATCATTGTCATAAGTTTGGACCGTTACTTGGCAACACACTACCCTCTCCGGCACTTTAAACGAAAGAAGATAAAGATTGCCCACATTGTCAATGTCACCACCTGGATAGTAGCGGCATGTTTTTGGTTTCCCATCGCGACTATTTGGGACTTGGTTCAACCGCTTGATATGAATCCCAAAGAAGTCATCTTTACGTCAAATTACACAAGGAACATACATGTCAGCACTTTGGTTACGATTTGTAGGTTCGTCATTCCTTTCGCTATAATCGTTCTTCTTTGTATAAAGATTTATCATCGAGTAAAAACGTCTGGTAGCAAAAGTCTATCCAAACGATATGCATCAGAAGAAAAGACTGGATCTAAAATTTACGCCACGAGTGCTCTACAACATGAACGAACCAATGATGGTTTCGTACAAATTCTAGAAGGCAATACTTCTCAGACCAATGTTAACAGCAGTGTGATTCAAGAGGAGAATGCTAGCGTTATTATAGTTCTTCAAGAGAATGCTACAAAACCGTCAACCTCAATCCAGTCGGATCATATCACACTTGACATAGTTGGAGACGTTGGACAGCTTGGTCGGGCATCTACAACACCGGAGCAAATCATGCGACATATTCAACACCAAGTTACACCAATGCGCAATACAACACAATCAACAACACCCGATGGGACTCAAAGGAACCCTCGGCACCTGTCTTCAGCGGATAATCATAAAGCTTTCCGTACCCTTACCTTCATCATTGTGGTGTTTTTCATAACTTCGCTGCCAGGTTGCATATCAATCATAACGTCCAATAAAACAACACTTGCTGTTGTTGGTCGTTGGATGACATTTATCAACAGCCTTCTCAACCCCGTAACCTATGCTATGGCGCAACCAGTGTTCCGCAAGACTATATTAGGGATTGTGAGGTGCCGACGACAATCCAGATCCAGCCATTGAGGGGCACCGATGTCATGGAGAATCAGAAACGGGTGAAATGTAAACTAAGAAGATCGTTGATTAACCGAAGGACGGGAGAGGGGATCATAGCATCTTCTTTTACATTCCCGTCCTCCACCTCCCTTTTGTGTCCCCGCGCAAAATTTTCTACGCCGATGATCACTTGCATATTGTCTAGATTAATGCGCCTAACAAACAGGGGTGGCATATGTTGATTCCTATTGTAAACAAGGTGTCATTTCAATATTCAAACAAGCCCAAGAAGGCAACTAATACATGTGCCAGTAATTCAACAAAACGTTTGCACTGTTCATTTTCAATCTGTAGGCCTACGATCGATCTCTCACATAGTGGATCGAAGACAATGCCAGTCGCTGACACAGGCCTACCTAAGCAAAGAGCACCGCGTTACTAACATTACGAACAAACGCAGAGTATTCTTATATTTGCCACACGCAACCCAGGTGATTTCAATGGGTATCAGAAGGATTATTCCTTGAATACGTTCACCCCACCCCTTATCAAAGCTGCGAGATTTTAAAGGTAGGGTCATATGATTGATGACGAATAGAACTACTATTGAAACCAGGCGGACATGAGCGAGGGTTCGTGCTATTAAAACCTTTAGATTGTTTTGATATGACTATGCATGTTCAATACTTCTTTCAAAATGACTGCTAAGTCTAACATCTATCTATACGTAGATATCAACTCCAGCATATCATTTTGCTTTAGATACTTGCTAAAAAGAGCACCATCCGCTTTGTTACGATCCACACGTTATCGTGATCTATGGAATGTATAGAATTCGACTATCTATTCAAATGACATGCAGCGGTATATCGTGTTGCATTAGTATATAAGTAGATCTTCACTTCGTCATTTCTGATTAGACCCCTCTAAATCGATCATTCAGAAGGGAACACCACTTTGCCGGATCGAGGTGATCAT